TTCAAATGGATTCATAGATTTAATATAATCCCAGTCAAAATCCAAACAGGTTTTTTGGCAGAACTTGATAAACTGAAAATAATTCAGGGCCAATAATAACTGAAGCAATCTTGAAGAACAAACTTAAAGGATTTATACCATTAGCTAGAAAGATTTATTCTAAAGTCACTAATTATGACAATTTTGTTTTAGTGCAAGGACAGATAAATAGTACAGATAAACAGAACAGAGAGTCCACAATCCACACGTATATTTAGGACGTATTTATGATCCGCAAAATTTATGACAATAGTGTGACTGCAATATAGAGGAGAAAAGGATTGTCTTTTCACTAAATGGTGCTGGTTAGTTGGACAAACTTATGGCAAAATACGAATCTTGACCACTATCTCACAAAATACACACACAAAAAAATTTGATATGGTTCATAGTCTTAAATGTGAAAGGTCAAACAATAAAGCTTCTAGAAAATAAAGGAAGAGAATATCCTTATGACATAGGACATAAAAAGCATTAACCAGAAAGGAAAAGATTGATAAACTGGACTTTGTTAAAATTAATAAATTGCATTCATCAAAAAGATAGGTATGTACATAAATACCATACATTTATAGTCTATGCATTGTTTTATATATGTATAGTATTTCTTAACAAGAAAGTTAGATTCAGCAATCCCACTAATGTGTATATATTCAAAGGAAATGAAATCAGTATGGCAAAGAGATATCTGCACTGCCGTGTTCATTGTAGCACTGTTCACAATAGCTAAAATATGGAATCAACCTAAGTGTCCATCAACAGATGAATGGATAAAGAAAATGTGGTATATATATGCAGTGGAATATTATTCAGCTTTAAAAAAAGAAACCTTGTCATTTGTGACAACATGGATGAACCTGGAGGACATTATGTTAAGTGAAATAATTCAGGCACAGAAGGACAAATATTGCATGATCTCACTTATATGTGGAATCTAAAAAAGTTGAACTCAGAGAAGTAGAGAGTAAAATGGTTACTGGGGCTGGCAGGGGTTGGGGCATGGAGTGTTGGGGAGATGTTGGAAGAAAAAGTTGAAGTATAGTTAGAATAGAGTTTAATATCATCTTTGAGTTTTCCTCCAATAACTCATGATAATTATGATTGGATGTCACTAAGAGATCATAGTTTCTACCCTAGTGAAAATAATAAATAGGTCAGAGCCCCACTTCCTTGGAAGTGATCACTCACTTGTATCCATGAAATTTGGATGAGGGCTGTGGATTACAGGGAAATCTCTCTATACATGCCCCTTTGACCAAGTGAGCCATGCAAGGTTAGGGGGCCTAGACTGTTCAGAAAGATCATATGGGCTAGAAAATGTGGAGCTATTATCTGAAGGTTGTCTCACAGCTCCTATAATAGGGAATAAATGGAAAGAAAAAATATTTTTGCTTAAAAAATCAAAGGAAAATTTAAAACCAACCAACCAAACAACCAACTTTGTCTGGTTTTTGTCTTTTGGTATCCTTGTAACCAAAAGAATCAGAGTAGGCCTAGCCCAGAGGGGAAGATATCCCTAATCCTGATAGCTCACAAAACCAAAAATGGAAAAGAATTTAATTGGTACAAATCATTCTTCTGGAAGGGAACTGTCTTTCATATCCTTGCTGTGCCTTGGGGAATGGGTGCAGTATCAGATGGAGGAGGGAGATGTTATGCTTTGTAACAGAGGGAGAAGAATTTGGATGTGGAGTGGTCAGGTATCCTAGGAGCAAAAGGATGGATGAAGAACTACAAGAGAAAGAAAAGGTGGTGAACAAGATGGCTTTGTGCTCTGCAAAGGGATCCTCTTCATGACCACCAACATTTTCAACAAAGTTTGCAACATATCATGAAATGCTAAGTGTTACTAAATTTGTTTTAGAAACTAGTGAAAGGGATGAATTTCACATTCTGGTTGACTTGGCACAAAACAGAGATAGAAAGTGTAGGCAGAGGGTACCTGACACTACAAGTCCTGAACTATTGAAATTGGTATGTGTACATGGGGGTGAGGGAGAGATACCAAGGACATTTCTCCCTCAATACAAGAGGCAAGAAAAATGTCAGTTAT